ATAGTGCAATAGGTGCAAAAGTTCATCAATTTCACTGATGTACATACAGATATTTTCACGTTTATCATAGGCTTTTCACATTTATCAGTGAGTTGTCATTCATTGTGCATGCAATTGTGCATGTCATTATTACTGCTCCACAAGCAGTTGCATCAGTCAATCAACATCATGGGCCTTTAATAATCCAAAAGGATGAGTTTGGTAAACACTAAGTTAAAACAATTTAAAGGGACACTGTTATAATTAAAGTAATGCAAGAGGCTGATACTCGGTCAAATTTAGGTACTTACACTGCTTACATTTAAAATAAATTTAATGTATGAAAGCCGAGACTTGGTCAAAATTTAAAAGGGAAAAAATTAGCACAAGTGATGGTACTTAAAGTCAATGCAAAGTGTCCCCTGTGCGGATGACTGCTGTTGTAATAGAAATTCAAAGTTCTCTGATGCCCCACTACAACTGTAGCTGTAACCTTCCAGTGCAATGGGGTTAGTACAAATCAAGTCATAGGCACCCATCAAGAGTCCTGACTATGTCCACCCTTTCCACCCCCCCCCCATTCATAAAAGCCATACTATAGCTTTGATCATTTTAAAGCAAGGAAGGAAGGGTGAATGCATGGAAAATCGCCCTCCTCCGTTCATAGAGTGCTTTTTCACTGAGTTCAGCTTTAGAGCAAATTTGCAGCAAAGCGCTAACACATATGTTACATAAGTTGATGCATTGCAGTACCATTCATTTTGAATAGCACCCTAATGCAATCTACATGTGTTGTAAGTGCTGAAACCTGTTGCAAGGGTGCAATGAGGCAAACATTTTGTGACGTTTAATGTTAATATGCACATGCATTAATGCACTTCACAATTGTAAATGGTCCCTCAATAATAACAATATATTTACTTATTAACAAAGATTAAAGAAAAAATTGATGATGACTCTTTAAAAGAGTACTCAGGTCAGGACAAAAATCTCCATGTAAATATAAAAACTAGTAATTCTGCTATCACATAATATTATGTGTATTTGGCACTTTTAGTTAGAGTGCCAAGAGCTTGTTCTTTGATTTTTTTTTTTATCAGTTTATTTTTTAAATTAGTTTTTTTTTTTTTTGTGAAGTGAATTTCACTAAATAGTCAGAAAAACTTGAAATAGGCTAATTTTGAAATGAGATGAAGAAAAAGCAAAACTGCTTTGATGGTTAAATCATCTTTGGTGAAATCACTCCACTCAACCCTAGTCACCAGTTCAGAGCTTTTTTTAAATTATTCAAGTTTTTTGTATATTCTTTATTCTTATTATTTTTTTTCTAAATGTAGAATTTTAAGAAATATCAAATTTTATCTCGGTTACATTTTGACATTTAATATGCAAGGTCTGCTCAAATTGCACAGGTTTGCAAAATACCTCCTGTTAACCACTTCCTGTCCGGACACTTTTACCCCCTTCCTGCCCAGGGCAATTTTCAGCTTTCAGCGCTATCACACTTTGAATGACAATTGCGCAGTCATGCAATACTGTACCCATATGAATTTTTTACCATTTTTTTGAGACAGATAAAGCTTTATTTTGGTGGTATTTATTCACCGCTGGGATTTTTATTTTTTTTACTATGTAAATGAAAAAGTCTAAAAATTTTGAAAAAAAGGTGTTTTTTTTTATAAAATTTTGCCAATAAATAATATTTCATCATAAATCTTGGCCAAAATTTATTCCGTTATTTTTTTAGTAAAAAAAAAAAATCCAAATTAGTTTATAACCAAAAATTATAATTTGAAAACGTTTTACATTTTTATTTTTATTTTTTATATATTATTATTTTTTATTTATTTATTTTTTTTACATACTGTCACCCTAGCAGTACAGTGTCACCATGGTGACACTGTACTACTTGTGGGGGGTGATGAAGATTTTTTTTTTTTTTTACACTGATTGCTTTTATACCCATATAGGATGTAAAAGCAATCATTTCTCTTTCTCTCTGTCTGCATTCTTGCAGTCATTGAGAAGTACTGAGTGAGCTGTGATTGGTCACAGCTTGTTACATGGTACAAGGCTGTTGTGAATAGCCTTGTACCGTGTGACCTCTGTGATCATTCACAGATTTCACACGTAGTAAGCAAGTGACATCTTGCTTACTACTTTGCATGTGATCACTGATTCGCCAATCAGTGATCACATGATCGGGACCTCGTACAGAGGTCCCGTCCGACGATCGGTGTTTCACTGTGTCCGGAGGACACAGCGGAAACCGGATCGCGGTGGTGCGCGCTCCCAGGGAGCACGCACAGCTAGAAAAGGCGGGTGCCGTTTAGGAATGGCAACCCGCCCCTGGACTGCCACCGCCCTGCCGTTTTATAAACATCAGGCGGACGGCAAGAGGTTAATAGGTATAAAATATAGGTATAAAATATACCTGTAAAGAAAAAAGTCTACTTTTTTTTATAATTTAGTTTTTATTGAGTTTTCAAAGACATACAACAGACAAAAAATTGCACAGAGTAGTGAGATAACAATAATCTATCACAGAACAACAAAAGAAAAAGAAACAGACTCATCGATGAAAATGCATACAAATACAATGTCAGTGGAGAACAGTGGATTAGCCAGCAAACTCAGACATCTGAGTAGACATATCAGAAATGAGCAGATCCCATAGTTCCCAAACTGCTTCAAAAAAGGGGGACAAAATTATCTTGCATAGCAGTTAAATACTCTATTCTTCTAATCTCAACGATAACTCTCACCAATTCCAACCGTGTAGGAGGTGTAGTAGAGTAGGAGGTGTAGTAGATAACCAATGTATAGGAATGCTTCTCCTGGCCACAGCTAAGACATGGGAAGATAGTTTCTTGACAAATTCAGAGAGGGGGTCAAATGGAATATGAACCTGCAGAAGTAGCCACAAGAGGCTAAGGACCTCTCTCCAGAAAGCAGCACTGTGTTGGCAAAGCCAGAAAATGTGAACAAGAGTGCCAATTTCCTTGCCACAGTTTTCCTCGCCAGCAGACAGGAGAAACACTCAGATTGCGAGCATGAAGAACCTCAGGGAAATTGTACCAGAACATCAAAATTTTATAAGTATTTTCTTTATGCCGCACATATACAAGATCTGGAGGCAGCCTTCCAGATTGAAAAAAAAAGTCAATTTTTATACTCACGTAACCCCCATCCCCACTTATAATATGTTGTCTATTCCTTTTTAATAAATTATTGGTGATAATGCGCTAGGCGTTTGAGCCCACTCTGTTCTTTGTTTTGATGATTCTGAGATAAACACAGATGAACAGATGAACAAACCACAGCTGACCTTCAGAATCAACTTTGTGCATAAGGCTAATGGCAAACAAGAAATCACTAATAAATTGTTTATCTTTTCCTGTAGAGGTATTCCTTAATTGGTTGAACTAGTGAGATGTCACTCCCTAGCTATCGAATGAGATTCCAATTTTCAGGACCAGCAAGGGAGTGACTTAATTAAAGTAAATTGCTGCCTCACCACATGGCCCTAAGCTCATAATGTAGCTTGTCTGCTTGCTGACGTGTATTCTATACTTTGAGTCATTGACCAACCAGTACACAACAAGTCAAGCCAGAATTCCTAATCTATAAACTTGTTGCAGTCCATGAATCACAATGTAACTATATCACTTAATCAGCATTATACCCGGGCAACTAGAAGTTATCAATGATATTCGATTAGCTCTCAGCACATGCTTTTTTTATTGTCCACAGATATAACATTTGGAGGGTCCAAAATGACCCAACTGGGATCAGCATGCATGCTTATGTAGCACTACATCGTTAGGAGTTGCTGAAGTTTTGGGTCCCCCTATAGTCCTGCACAGCTAGGCAACACACATTTTGTACATCCAATTGCATTCAGGAGTCAGTGACCAGTACTTGAGCTTCTTTTGAAGTTTAATTAGGGATTTAGAACTTGGATGGGGTAAGGGGCGTACTGGATGCCCAAGGGAACTGAGAAATTGAGGACAACTTCCTGAACTATGTACAAGTCTTTGCACAAAGATCCTCTTTCTGGAGAGCTAGTCAGCATCTCCCGTTGCACCACCTCAGACCCTAGATGTCCCTTTATCCAGCTGCCTGAAGGAATCCCTGAGCAGCAGATCGGGTGCCTGTCACTTTAAGAGATAAGACAGTCCTGGGCAGTCGCTAATCTGGTTTCCCACCAGGGTGCTCCTTCCCCTATCTGGCCCAGGGGTTGCAGGTCTACTCACTCAGTCCTTCTCCTGTGTTGCTGATAGGTCAGTGGCTGCTACCAGGCATTTTAGCTGGGCTACTCCTTTCCTGCTTCCCAGGTGGTCCTATCTCAGGGGGCCAATGAAGTCCTGAGCTTTCTTCCATCCAAGGTCCTCTGCCTGTAAGTGAGCCGCTCTTCATCTGAGCCCCTCACAGTTTCCTGCATCCAGCCTCACATCCTCTCTATCTTCCACCCAAACTCTCCTGCTGCTGAGCAGGCTCAGTTACTCTTAACCACTTGCCTACCGGGCACTTATACCCCCTTCCTTACCAAGCCAATTTTCAGCCTTCAGCGCTGTTGCACTTTGCACTACGCAGTCATACAACATTTTATCCATATGAAATTTATAGCATTTTTTTCTCACAGATAGAGCTTTCTTTTTGGTGGTATTTACTTCCCGCTGGGTGTTTTACATTTTGCGCTATAAACAAAAAAATAGCAAAAAAATTTGAAAAAAAAAGTTTCTTTGTTTCTATTATAAAATTTAGCAAACAGGTAATTTTTTGCCTTCACTGATGTGCGTTGATGAGGTTGCACTGATAGGCAGCACTGATGGGCACTGATAGGTGGCACTGATGGGCACTGATAGGCAGCACTATTGGGGTGGCACGGATAAGTGGCACTGATAGGTGGCACTGATAGGCGGAACTGATGGGTACTGATAGTCAGCACTGATAGACAGCACTGACTGGCGGCACTGCTGGGAACTGACTGGCGGCACTGCTGGGCATTGACTGGTGCAACTGCTGGGCACTGACTGGAGGCACAGACTGGCAGCACTGCTGGGCTGCACTGAGGGGCAGTGCTGGTCACAGGTGGGTGGCACTGCTGGTCACAGGTGGGTGGCACAGGTGAGTGGCACTGCTGGGCACAGGTGGGCAGCACTGCTGGACACAGGTGGGCGGAACTGGTGGGTGCACTGCTGGGCACCGATCATCAGGGCACTGATCATCAGTGCCCTGATGATCAGTGCCGATACCTGCTCTGACAACTGCCGGTTCTCGGCAGTACTTTCCTCACGCTCTGACAGCGTTAGGAAAGTGCAGCCGAGAACCGGCAATTGCATTTCCCTGTAATCAGCTTGTCATTGGACACGGCTGATCACGTGGTAAAAGGCCGCTGTGATTGGAACTTTACCACATCACGTGATCAGCTGTGTCCGTAGGACACAGCAATCACGTTGATCAACGGGTGTGCGTCCCCGGGGGTGCGCAGGAGAGCACGTTCTGGGAGGACGTCATGTCAAGGAACAATATACAAAGACCTGCAGAAGCCTACACTTACATTTCCCCTAAATATAACTTGTGTGGTCATTGTTATTCATAGATATTCTCTTTTTCATCTAATCCTAAATTGACAAGCAATGAATATCTACAAATACATCACATTTTGACTGTATCTTTGCTTTATTAGTGGATTAGGTATTTACTGTTTTGAGCTTGAAGACGACCATGAACATAGAGGTTTTGCTCATTCTGACCCAAGCTATCGCACCCCCAAAATAGTCCTCGGATCACTTGACTAAGTCTACTGTCTACTGAGGCAGTAAAGAGAAGTCATATATGAATCAACATTTTTCTGCATATTCTGCAATCACATCTGTTCATGGATAGCTGCCTTAAAGCAAATCTGTACTTGCGTTAAATGAAGTAATTGACACACACATTTATTCCCAGGTGCCTAGAGATGTTTATATGTACCATTTGATGATTTTTTGGCATTGCTTTTTTAGCACTAATACTTCTTGGCAAAGGACTGTCACCTCCTTGTGTTGATACCTTGAAAAAATGTCATTAGTAATTTTTAAACTGAAAAATAATATTTTAGGATGACAAGGGTTCACTTTAAGTGCTAGGTTAGGAGGTTAAACTTAAGGATGTAGGCAAGGTTTAATATTTTTGAACTGGCTTGGGTAAATGTAAGGAGTGATGTAAAGAATATTTAAACCCAACATTTCATATTCCTGATATGTGCCTGCTGTACCATGTACTTGTATAAAAAAAAAAGTATCCTGTTCTCTTTGTATTGTTTCCTTTGTGTGAAATACCTGGTGTTCCTCTTCTTTCCTAGTAAAAACTGACCACACTAGGCATGAGACCAAAGTGTGGTCAGTTTTTTCTGGCTGTGCTGAGAGCTCTTCCTGGTTTCCTCCATTGGTCAGACTTCTGCTGACACCCTATCTCCCCTGCACAACCATTCACTGGGAAGTCCAATGTGCTCCTGTTTCTCCTCCCCCAGCTCTTAAGAAATTGAAAACAGAGGGTATACCCAGGATTCATCATTAAATCTGAACTCCAGAGAGATAAAACATACAAAATAAATGCATACAGTCAGGTCCATAAATATTGGGACATTGATACAATTCTAACATTTTTGGCTCTATACACCACCACAATGGATTTGAAATGAAACAAACAAGATGTGCTTTAACTGCAGACTGTCAGCTTTAATTTGAGGGTATTTACATCCAAATCAGGTGAACAGTGTAGGAATTACAACAGTTTGCATATGTGTCTCCCACTTGTTAAGGGACCAAAAGTAATGGGACAGAATAATAATCATAAATCAAACTTTCACTTTTTAATACCTGGTTGCAAATCCTTTGCAGTCAATGACAGCCTGAAGTGTGGAACGCATACACATCACCAGACGCTGGGTTTCATCCCTGGTGATGCTCTGCCAGGCCTCTACTGCAACTGTCTTCAGTTCCTGCTTGTTCTTGGGGCATTTTGCCTTCAGTTTTGTCTTCAGCAAGTGAAATGCATGCTCAATCGGATTCAGGTCAGGTGATTGACTTGGCCATTGCATAACATTCCACTTCTTTCCCTTAAAAAACTCTTTGGTTGCTTTTGCAGTATGCTTTGGGTCATTGTCCATCTGCACTGTGAAGCGGCGTCCAATGAGTTGTGAAGCATTTGGCTGAATATGAGCAGATAATATTCCCGAAACACTTCAGAATTCATCCTGCTGCTTTTGTCAGCAGTCACATCATCAATAAATACAAGAGAACCAGTTCCATTGGCAGCCATACATGCCCACGCCATGACACTACCACCACCATGCTTCACTGATGAGGTGGTATGCTTAGGACCATGAGCAGTTCCTTTCCTTCTCCATACTCTTCTCTTCCCATCACTCTGGTACAAGTTGATCTTGGTCTCATCTGTCCATAGGATGTTGTTCCAGAACTGTGAAGGCTTTTTTAGATGTCGTTTGGCAAACTCTAATCTGGCCTTCCTGTTTTTGAGGCTCACCAATGGTTTCCATCTTGTGGTGAACCTTCTGTATTCACTCTGGTGAAGTCTTCTCTTGATTGGTGACTTTGACACACATACACCTACCTCCTGGAGAGTGTTCTTGATCTGGCCAACTGTTGTGAAGGGTGTTTTCTTCACCAGGGAAAGAATTCTTCGCTCATCCACCACAGTTGGTTTTCCGTAGTCTTCCGGGTCTTTTGGTGTTGCTGAGCTCACCGGTGCTTTCCTTCTTTTTAAGAATGTTCCAAACAGTTGTTTTGGCCACGCTAATGTTTTTGCTATCTCTCTGATGGGTTTGTTTTGTTTTTTCAGCCTAATGATGGCTTGCTTCACTGATAGTGACAGCTCTTTGGATCTCATCTTGAGAGTTGACAGCAACAGATTCCAAATGCAAATAGCACACTTGAAATGAACTCTGGACCTTTTATCTGCTCATTGTAATTGGGATAATGAGGGAATAACACACACCTGGCCATGGAACAGCTGAGAAGCCAATTGTCCCATTACTTTTGGCCCCTTAACAAGTGAGAGGCACATATGCAAACTGTTGTAATTCCTACACCGTTCACCTGATTTGGATGTAAATACCCTCAAATTAAAGCTGACAGTCTGCAGTTAAAGCCCATCTTGTTTGTTTCATTTCAAATCCATTGTGGTGGTGTATAGAGCCAAAAATGTTAGAATTGTGTCGATGTCCCAATATTTATGGACCTGACTGTATCTGTAATCCAAAGAGTATGTAAACCCAACATTTCATATTCCTGATACATGCCTGCTGTACTATGTACTTGTATGAAAAAGTATCCTGTTCTCTTTGTATTGCTTCTTTTGTGTGAAATTCCTGGTGTTCCTGCCAGTCCCTCTGCTTTCATGTTAAAAGCTGACCATACTAGGCATGACAGTACAGCATGGTCAGTTCTCTATCTGCGCTGGGAACTCAGTATGTTCTCCCCCATTGATCAAACTTCTTCTGACAAACTCCCTCTCACAGCCATTCACTGGGAAGACCAGTGTGCTGGTTTTTCTCTTCCCTGAGCTCCTTATGCAGCTGTGAACAGTGGGAATGTGATTGCTTATAAAAGCAAAAAGGTGTTTATTATTTTTTTTATCTATACACAAATGTTTTACCTTTCATTTCTATTTTAAATTGAATGGGTTGTTTTATACGGTGAGGGTTTACATATAATTTAATTGTCAAGGGTTAATTTTAGGGCTTAGTTTATGTCTTAAAGTTTATGTAGAGGGAAAACTTTTAGTTTCCTCTTTTTGAGTAGAGTGAGGGAATATTAAAACTGTGGTCATTTTCTTTTTTTGCCATCTGTGTCTAATTAGGGAGATTTCAATTCACGTCCTTACCTGGAAGAGAAAAATATCTTTTCAATGTGAGGTTAACCGCTTTTAGAGAATTGTCACTGGAACAAGTGTCCCTGATGGAGAATTTCCTCTCAATTCCTGTTCTAGCGGCATCTCAGAATTTTGGATTTACCTTCACTTTTATTCCCTGTGACATTGGTGATCAGGACAGTTAGAGAGAATGAATCTCGCTAACAGAAAACAGACACCAATCAAAAACTAATAGAGCCCTAGCCCCTCAATACTGTAGCCAAATCTACGTTTGGCATGGGGCCAGGATTAAAATGGATATAAAGGTAATTTCCTAAAATAAAAAAAGATATACTTACCTGTTCTGTGCAATGGTATATGAGAAGATGAAGAGAGGAGAGCTGCAGATGGGCACAGCACTGGATTGACAGAAGACTTAGATAAGTGTTTATGAAGGGGGGGACAAGTAGTGGGACTTTTTTACCCTAAAGGAGGAGTATGGCTAAAGCCCTTTTGGCCATAATAAAAGGAGAGGAACAGAAGAACATTCTTTGGATACTATCCAACAACATCATAGAATTAAAAAAATATAAAATGATTTTATTGAACAAATTTTTATTATATACATGTAGCACACAATGGACCAATCTATATTTTGATATCACTTATTGAGTAAGTTGGTTGAGTTCCATCTAGAGAAATGGCCTCAGATGGAGATCAAAGATCTTGAAACCTCAAAGCGTTTCAGCTCTTAATGAGCCTTCATCAGAGAAAAAAATGGGCTGAAACAGAAGCGCATATGGATAAATTCAACATGTACAGACAAATAAAAATAAGGCCATTCAGATTACAAAGGCTACTTATACATACCCAAAAGAGTATTTATGTAATAAAAGATACATAGAGAGATGGGTATCCTGTGTGATAAACCTCCAATGGGATCAGGTGAAGTGCAAAGAGGATAAACCCATTCAAGTGGCAAAGAAAACCCTAAGAAGCCTAAACAGAGAATATAATGATGAACACTTTAAACCCACTGAGGAGCCAAGCATTCGTAAAAAGGTAACAGTGTGTAGCTTTACTCATTACCTACCAAAAAGATATGGCTTTGAGGATCAAATAGATAATCACATTGGGTCCAAAATGGTTGCAATATCGCATGCATCAGGACAGGTCATTTGGCGAGGTCTCCATACTAATCTATCTGGACAAAAAAGATATACAATAGTGGAGGTTTAACTTTGTTCAATAAAATCACTGTATATTTTGTTTAACTCTGATCCTCTTTTTTTGTTATGTAATATTTGGGATGCAGTACCCACATATTATTGGTAGTCATAGACTCGGCATAGTCTATATATTTTTTGATAGAGTAGGTGGTAAACACCATTTATGAAGGGCTTGTGCTGAGTACTCTGATAATTAATTAGAATGTCCACAATAGCAGCACCTAGATTTTTTACATCTAACATTTTTTTGAACCATTGTTGGAAGGATTTGGATCACACAATGTCATTTAGAGGGGAAGAAAGGGATTCATTAATG